AAAAAAAAAAAAAAAAAGAGGGCTTTCCATTTAGTAAACCCATCCAAATGCACTCTCAGCCTACAATCTCAAGTCGCCTTAGGGACTGGACAAACTACACTAACCAGGAGAGCGCCTTCTGGACCAGCTTCCTCTGGGCAGGTCTTTAAGGCTGCTGAGTTAGGAAAGCCTTTACTCCTGGGTAAGAGTCTAGGAAGTGGAAGATGCCACAGCTGTGAACATGTGGTGGACTTTTACTTTGGATTCTGGATCCCTTCCTTCACATATCTTTAGAGAGTTCTAAAAAAAAAAAAAAATTTTTTTTCATGATCTTGGAATGCTGATGTTTGAACTGCCTCTGCACTTTTTAAAGAATGATTTGGGCTATTTATTTTTGGAATTCAACAATTAGAATTATGTGTTTCTTTAAATTCGGCTTTAATTTGCACTACAATTGTTATGAGCCTCCCTTTTTTACTAAAAGCATTATGGATAGCATGAAAATTTTTTTTTAGTAAACAGTGATACTGAGGTTGCATACTCCTCTATCTTAAGACAGAGTAACTATTTACATAGTGACTATATTAATAACAGGTGGGTATATTTTTTAAAGAAAAATTTTCTGAGTTAGTTCTATGTTTACACACAGAAATTTTGAGGTGCTCATCTATCACAATCACTGTCATTAATGACAAAAGTAGAAGCATTATGCTATTGCTTTCAGCAAGTCAATGGACATTTCTTAGTTTCAGCAATGAGCTAACAATAAAATCAGGGTTGATACTGAGCTGTGATAAAATAAACAGTTTACATTAATTTTTCTCAGGAATAAATGAAAACATAATCAGTAAACATAGGTTATCATGTTGAAATAATATTTTTTGATGTTGTTGTTTGTTTGTTTTTGAGATGAAGTCTTGCTCTGTCGCCCAGGCTGGAGTGCAGTGGTGTGATCTCAGCTTACTGCAACCTCCGCCTCCTGGGTTCAAGGGATTCTCCTGCCTCAGCCTCCTGAGTAGCTGGGACTACAGGTGCCTGCCACCACGCCTGGATAATTTTTTGTATTTTTAGTAGACACAGAGTTTTACCGTGTTAGCCAGGATGGTCTCGATCTCCTGACCTCGTGATCTGTCCGCCTCGGCCTCCCAAAGTACTGGGATTACAGGCAGGAGCTATTGCGCCCAGCCAACGATGGTATGTTTTAATAGATTTCAAACATTCACAAAATGATTGAAGAGGGAATGTATGTTTTGAGGGAAAAGAAAGAAAAATGAAAGTATATATTAAATAGAGAGATACACACATGACCAGATAAGGCAGTATGGTGGAATAGAAAGTAAAGGAAAAGAAATGGGGAAGAAAAATAGTTTATGAGTGATAGGCCAGTAGAAATTACTTCCATTTTTCTCATGGCAAAGTTCCTTCCTGGTTTCTTGAATTAAAAAAATTGTTATGTGAGAAATATTTCTGTTGCATGGAAATACATTTTGTTTTGCTTCCATATTGAATGAGGAACATGAATTCCTTCAGTCAGAATGTCAAAGATAATTTTTTCAGAAACTAATACATACATTTTATTAAGCAATTTTTTCCAGAATGTTTTCAAGGTTAGCTTGCTGCCATTTTGCCTGGTCTGCTCAGCTCCAGACAACTGGATGATTCGGCTTCCTCCTCCTCCGCCTTTTTTGGCCTCTTTTTTCCTCTACCATCATCTCCATCTCTCCCTAAATCCACACGCTTCTTCCTTCCTGGATGCCTCTTCATTCACTTACTTCCTCTGTCATTGTTCTCCATGTGTCTCTTGGCTTTTTATCTCTGCCGTTCATATTCTATATTTTTCTCTCTCTTTCCCTTTTTCCTTTCTGCATTGCAAGCTATATAAAGTAGACCTATGAGTTTTGAAAGATTTGGCATGTAAATAAATAAAATTTTGTGGTTTTGTTATAATTTCAAAGTAGGGTGATTTTAATTTAAACACAACAATCAAACTGAGGCAGGATAAGTAAGATTAGGGAGCTGTATTAGTTCATTTTCACACAGCTATAAAGAACTACCTGAGACTGGGTAATTGATGAAGAAAAGAGGTTTAATTGACTCATAATTCTGCAGGCTGTCCGGGAAGCCTGGCTGGGAGGCCTCAGGAAATTTACAATCATGGCGGAAGGCAAAAGGGATGCAAGTAGGTCTTACCATGGAGGAGCAGGAGAGAAAGAGAGAAGGGGGATGTGCCACACACTTTTAAACAACTGGATCTCAAGAGAACTCTCTCACTATCAAGAGAACAGCAAGGGGGAAATCGGCCCCCATGATTCAATCACCTCCCACCAGGCCCCTCCTCTGTTACCTGGGGATTATAATTCGAGATGAGATTTGGTTGGGGCCACAGAACCAAACCATATCAGCGGCCATACTGACTTTGTCCCCTTGAGAGGTGACAATGTGCTAGCAGCCCTCACTCTCGGCGCCTCCTTGGTTTTGGTGTCCACTCTGGCAGTGCTTGACGAGCCCTTCAGCCTGCCACGGCACCCTGGGAGCCCCTCTCTGGGCTGGCTAGGGGGAAGCTGCCTCCCTCTGCTCGCAGGGAGATGTGGAGGGAGAGGCACGGGCAGGAACCGGGGCTGCCAGGGTGCTGGCAGGCCAGTGCGAGTTCTGGCAGGTACAGGCCGGGCTGGGCGGGCTCCGCACATGGAGTGGCCAGCCAGAGCTGCTAGCCCAGGGTACTGAGGGGCTTAGCACCGGGGCCAGCAGCTGCAGAGTTTGCACCAGGTCCCTCAGCAGTGCTGGCCCGCTGGCGCTACACTTAAATTCTCACTGGGTTTAGCAGCCTCCCCGCGGGACAGGGCTGGAGACCTCCAGTCCGCCATGTCTGAGCTCCTCCTCCTGCGGTGGGCTCCCGATGGCCTGAGCCTCCCCAAGGGGCGCCACCCCCTGCTCCGTGGCCCCCTCCCATCGACAGCCCAAGGGCTGAGGAGTGCAGGGGCAGCTCGGGACTGGGGGGCAGCTCTGCCTGCTCTCCCAGTGCAGGATCCACTGGGTGAAGCCAGCTGGGCTCCTAAACTGGATAGGGACTTGGAGAACTTTTATATCTAGCCAGAGGATTGTATGTGTACCAATCAGCACTCTGTACCTAGCTAACCTAGTGGAGACTTGGGGGACTAGCACTCTGTGACTCTGTGTCTAGCTCAAGGATTGTAAATGCACCAATCAGCACTTTGTGTCTAGCTCAGGGTTTGTGAATACACCAATTGGTTCTCTGTAACTAGCTAACCACCTAGTGGAGACTTGGAGGACTAGCACTCTGTGACTGTGTCTAGCTCAGGGTTTGTAAATACACCAATCAATACTCTGTATCTAGCTAACTGTGTTTAGCTAACCTAGTGGGGACTTGGAGAACTTTTCCATCTAGCACTCTGTGTCTGGCTCAAGGATTGTAAACGCACCAATCAGTACTCTGTCAAAACGGACCAATCAACTCTAAGATAGACCAACCAGCTCTCTGTAAAATGGACCAATCAGCAGGATGTGGGTGGGGTCAGATAAGGGAATAAAAGCAGGCTGCAGAACCAGCCAGGGGCAACCCACTCGGGTCTCCTTCCACACTGTGGAAGCTTTATTCTTTCACTATTTGCAATAAATCTTGCTGCTGCTCACTCTGGGTCCACACTGCCTTTATGAGCTGTGACACTCACTGTGAAGGTCTACAGCTTCACTCCTGAAGCCCACGAGACCACAAACCCACCAGAAGGAAGAAGCTCCAGACACATCTGAACGTCTGAAGGAACAAACTCCGGGCACATCATCTTTAAGAACTGTAACACTCACCGCGAGGGTCCACGTCTTCATTCTTGAAGTCAGTGAGACCAAGAACCCACCAATTCCGGACACACCCTTGTGTGAAGCCCCACAGGGCCCTCCATAGACAGCTCTACATCCCTTGCATCCTCGTGTGCATCAGTACCTCTTTTGCAAGATAAGCAGTCCTGCAGGATACCAGCAGACCACCAACCAGATAGTTACAAGTTCCTGACATCCAGTGTGGCCTGGGAAAGAGAATAAAAGTTTCTTATTCCTGATGGAATTTCCCCATTCTCCAAGCAATCAGCACCAGAGAAGCTATTAGGTACAAATTCCTTCCTTGGGGGAAGGAAAGGGGGAGGAGAAAGGAAAGGGCGTGGCCAGGGGCTTCTCTGGTGTCCTGCATATGCAACTAGGCTCAAGGTTTAGCTTTTAGTAACGTTTTCCTCATTTTAATAATAATAATAAAAAAAGCACCCGTAGGTGGAGATTTTATATGCTCATGATACACACGATTTGTGTTAGGGCATGATACATGCGATGTGTGTGACAGCTAAGCGCGTGCTCCAGCAGCAGGTCTGCCTTTGCATACTTGACCTTCCCAGGTCGTATTTTATGAAAATGTATGTACAGCTTCCATAAAAGGAATTCCTTTGAGGCACTAACTGCTGTCTCCCTCTGAGTAGCTTGCTCTGCCTCTCAGAGTGTACTTTTGCTTTGCAGTAAACTTTACTTACTCTTACTGTAGGCTTGCTCTCAAATTCTTTTGTGCGGTGAAGTCAAGAATCTGTCCCTGCTCACCAGCAACAAAACCACAGTGAAGTAAGGATATGAGTGATGTGTGTGTGTGCATGCCCACGCGTGTGTGTTGTTAATGTTGCTTAGAATATTCTCCTCCTTCACCATCTGACAGTCTCTGGTTCCTCTGGTTCATCCTTCAAAGTTTAGTTTCAATGTCCTTGAAAGTCATTTCTGTATGCTCGCCTGCTCCCAGTTTAAATTATATCTTTCTACTACACTCCCTTAATAATGACCATTTCTCAAGTTTCTTTTATATGCCATAGTTGTGCTTCAGACTTTATAAACATTATCTCATTCTAACAACAACTCTTTATGTCTCATCACCCTTAATTTGCAGATGAAGAACCATGGCTCAGAGAGGCCAAGGAATTTGTATCAGGTACTCTGGGCAAATACTCTCCTGCCTCCAGGCCTTCATACTTGCTATTTCCTCTGCCTGAGACGCTCTGACTCCAGATCTTGGCATGGCTGGCTTCTTATTTCTAGTCATCTTTCCACTCAAAAGTCACCTCTTCGGAGAAGCCTTCCTTGATTACCCACTCTAAAGAATTCTGTATCATACCTGCCTGTTTTATTTTTTCTTTATTTTCTGAAAGTAACTCGTCTGTTTACTTGTGATGGTTACTATTGAGTATCAACTTGATTGGATTGAAGGATGCAAAGTATTGATCCTGGGTGTGTCTGTAAGGGTGTTGCCAAAGGAGATTAACATTTGACTTAGTGGACTGGGAGAGGCCGACCCACCCTCAAACTGGGAGGGCACCAGCTAATCAGCTGCCAGCGTGGCTAGAGTAAAGCAGGCAGAAATTGGAAGGACTTGACTTGCTGAGTCTTCCAGCCTCCATCTTTCTCCTGTGCTGGATGCTTCCTGCCCTTGACATCAGACTTCAAGTTCGTTAGCTTTTGGACTCTTGGACATACACCAGTGGTTTGCCAGGGGCTCTTGGGCCTTTGGCCTCAGATGAAGGCTGCACTGTCAGCTTCCCGATTTTTGAAGTTTTGGGACTTGGACTGGCTTCCCTGCTCCTCAGCTTGCAGAGGGCCTGTTGTGGGACTTTACCTTGTGTTTGTGTGAAAATATTCCTTAATAAACTCCTCTCCATATATACATATATCCTATTAGTTCTGTCTCTCTAGGGAACTCTGACTAACACAATTGTTGACTTATATATGGTTCATCTATTCCACCAGTTTTAAACAAGCATAAGAGGAAGGAGCTGGTCAACCTCCTTATCCACTGTACCCTCAGCTCCTGGAACAGTGTCTGGGGTTATCATAGATGCTCAGAAAGTATATAATGAATAAATAAGTGAATGAATAAATAAATAGAGAAATCTCGGACCTGGCCCTGTGACTTTTCTACTTCATGTTCTTTCCACCCCATCTTAATAGTCTGTACATCATTTAAGATTGTTTATACTGAAATGCCCATATTCTTAAAAAGTTATGCTAATACTAATTGTATTATGTCAGGGTTCTCCAGAGAAACAGAACCAATAGGCTGTATGTGTGTGTGCATGTGTATGTGTGTGTAGAAAGAGAGAGAAATTTACTTGGACAAATTGGCTCACTAAATTGGCAGGAGGTCTAAAGAAGAGCTGGTATTGCAGTTGAAATCTAAAGGCAGACTGCTGGCAGAATCCTCTCTTGCTTGGGAAGGGCAGTCTTTATTTAGACTTTCAACTGATTGGATGGGGCCCACCCACAGATGGCAATCTGCTTTGATCAAAGTCCACCAATTTAAATATTAATATCATCCAAGAAATCCTCACAGAAACATCACTTATAGTCCTCAAATAACCAAACTATATTTTTCACCTTAATGAAGAAATGAAATAATTTAAATCAATGGGCATTTGAAAATTTAAAAATTTAAGCATTAAGTGACTACGACATGCAGGGCTCTGCTTGACACTGGCCTTAAATAGGTGAATGAAATAGACACATTTCCTGTATTCATAGAGCTTATTTGATGGTAAAATAAACATATTCATATTATCATATATGATTTTCATGTGTAATATCAAAAGAAACAACCTAAATTTTCTCCACACAGTGTCACGATTACACATTTATAGAATTGGTTTTTGTTTCTCTTCACCCTGTAAGTGTGTCTTCAGCCTTCTCGCCCTTTCCTAACAGTTACATATGCAAAGGACACAGTTGTGTTTATTAGAAACTCAGTATCATTACTGGTTAATTTGGATGAGTGACTGTTATGCTTAGGGCTTCAGTGTCTTTATTTATAAAACGAGTGTAATACTTTCTATATTGTCACAATAGGATGGGAATGCAGTCAACAGACAGACAGAAGATTTTAATGGCAAATGGTTAGGAAACCAGAGAGGCAGAAAAAACAGAGAACGGACACGTAAAACAGGAGTTAGCACAGTGAGGTTTCAGAGGCAGTTGTGACTTCTCATATGACCTCAGCATTGCAGTGAAATTACATAGCTTCAGATGATACTGCCTAAATGGAGCAAGAACACCATCAGGTAGGAGAAGCTTCCTTTGCCTTTCTCTTTTTTTTCTTTTTTCTCATGGTATCAGCTAGGCTGTTCTGGAGATTCTGGCTACAGGCCTGCTTCCTCACTAGGTGCAAATAACTACTGCAAAACAAAATTAGCACCTTCTTGAGTGTTTACATGGAGGTGGGATGAAGTGAGGTTCTATTACTCACACTCAGGCTTCAGCAGGCCTGGGCGTCAAGCTCTGTGAGTACCCCTCCTGCAAACAACTATCTCACAAAGATAATATGAAATGTTGGAAACACCTAGCACATAACATGCACTCAATCAATTAAAAACTGGAATGTTATGACATGTATAATTTTGTACATAATTCTAGAGGTATATTGCTATGTTACCAGATTGACTTGAAATGATAATATTCTATGGGTTGATTTCTTTTTATTACTAAAGTCACTCATAACAGCAAGCTATTGTTACTGTCATTCTGTGTGTTATTACTCAGTGCATTATTCAGCATGCTATACCCAGAATGGATTCAGAATTTTTATATTTCTAACCTCTTGTGCATTTACTATTCCTACGTTCCCAGGAAAAAAGGGGGACACTATTCCTCTTTGCATGTAACTAACACTGGTGGGTACAGGATATTTTACTCATTATATTGATCAGGAACAAGAGTGTAATGTACATGCTTAAAGGCGATTCAAATATTTAATTGGTTTTAGTAGGAAGGCGATTTTCCTTGATTCTCTTCATGTTAAGAATAGCAAATTATACTATCTCTGAATACAAATTGTACATTTTAAAAAGTCATTCAGTTGCACTGTATTACATATAAAAACATGCAAAACTTGTGATTTTCTTTTTATGGAGACTTATTTGTACTTTCCACAGTCTAGATGTAAAACCACTTTGTATTCAACCCCAATTACTCTTACCATATGCAGAAACTGTTAGCAGAATAGCTGTCTGTTGGTAAAATTAAGAGTTGATTAAATAAAGAATAAAAACAAATCTGATCATGTCATGTCTCTCAAACAGCATGACACCCCCACAAGCAGACACACACATGCAGACACACGCCCCTTAAATGCTTCATTGACTTCATTTCTCTCTCAGAGTGGAGACAGAACTCTGTATCATGCCTCTGAGGCCCTTTAGGATGTGGATCCCCCATGTCTTCACCCCCATTCATGCCGCAGTGCCTTGGCACTCTCCACGTTAGCCACAATGACCTCCTTTCAGCCCCCTCAACTGATCATACCGTTTCCTGCCACCATGCCTTAGGACATGGGTGTTTCCTCTGCCCACAATAACCTTTCCCCTCCCTGCTTAGTTAATATCTAAGGGTCCTTCAGAACTTCTTTATAGAAGTTGTTTTCAATTTCTGGTTTAGTTAAAATACTCCAATCATAGATTCTAAGCACCACATACACCACATATCTCTCCTTCAGATTTGTGCCCATTGCAATTTCTCATGTGCTTATAGGAACTTTTAATTACTACGCCTGCCTCCCCATCCTCATTAAACTGTGTGGGCTCTGCAGGATGGAGATACAGTCCTTGTTGGTTTCTGCTCATCGTTGCATTCCCCAGTGCCTAGCACTGTGCCTTGCAGTAGTAGAAATTGACAAGTATTTGTAT